TAAATCCAAATACTGAGGTTCAGTTCATTTGCTATCGTTGCAAGAATATTGGTTTTTTTCTACATGAATAAACATTTGTTAAATATGTTGTAATCTTAGAATTGTTGTGTAAACAAACATGCGCGAAATGTTGAACGATAAATTAGGAAAGTACTGAACGCTTATTTGATATTAATAAAACTCTCTTTTATTCATTCTTTTATTTGGAATGAATTCCAAAGAAATGATGCAATGTTGATGATGGATGACCCATCTCGTTGACATATGACTATGATGTGACATTGTCACCACATATATGCACATTTTTCAACGAAAAGAAATTATTGGTAGTATTTGATTTCAAATTTATCATAGTAATATTTTACATTGAACTGATCTAATTACTTTGAAACTAGAATTTTTACTCTTTCATCGAATTTAATAAAATTGTTATCTTTAACATTTACGATATTCTGTATATCATCCACGATATTGCTGTTGGAAAAACCGGAATTCATTCCTAGTCTCGTACTGTTGATGGGTGTTCCTTCTCTGGTCAGGAAAATGGATCGAACACAATTAGACCAAACGCTGACCAGAGAAGAAACCCATCAACAGTATGAGACTTTTGATAGGAATGAATTTCAATTTTCCCGACAGTTGCAACAAAATAATATACATTTTATTTGACTATTTTTATGCACGTATTAAATTTGTGATAGTATTAATGAACATAAATTTGATTAAATATAGCATAATCCCATACTTCTTTTCTAGTTCAGTATTTCTTGACTTCATTATTTGTTATATAAATTGATGATCAGTGATACACATTTATCAATGATTGCTAATTACAGCAAGCATACTTTCAATAATTTCTCAAATTATACACCTGCCACTTATAATATTTATGAAATTAAAAAGGGAATTTTAGAATGAAGTTTTTTCTTTCCTTTCTTTCTTGAAATTTCACAATTCACTTATTGAAATTTAAAAATTAGCACTCATCAATTAGTGATGTTGATAGCTGTTTTAGTATTTAGTGAAATTGTATGATAGATATGGAACATCTATGTGAATTGAAGAGACATGAACCTCAAAAATAACAATAATGTTCATTGTTTTAGTATATTCCTCGTTCTTATATATTTCAAATTTAATTATGTATTATATATTTGGTGCATTTATACAATAATACTTCATTAACCTTTCCATAGACCTTTGAACTTCTAAATATATAAAATGAAATGTTTGTAAGGCCTATCACTTCTCATTTTTGACATAAAATTGAATTGAATTTTTCTGGAAATTATGCTTGATTTGGCGTTTTCATTTCGAGCGCTTTATAGTGACACAATGTGGATCAGTTTATCATTTCCACGAGACCGTAAATTGAGGCGATTTGACAGTATTTTGGGGTACTTTGTACGTGTTATCATATTTCCGGGTAGATATACTTGGCAAGTGTCTTTCATTTACGCTTCACGTGAAAAGCGCATAAATTCTATCGAAGTGTATGTAATAAAATATTTAGCTATTTTATTTATTTCAATGTGATAGAAATCGTATTGAAATGTGTTTATATATGAACGTAATCTCGTTTACAGTACATTATTATTGTTTCATTTGTCTTTTTCATAGATTAGCTTAAATGACTTAAATGCATAGGTATTTCTAAAATAAATACTGTTCTTACATTTTACTATCCATACACGCACATTTTCTTTTTTACCCTCTTGCTGCTTCAGTATTCAGTAGTTTTTTTTAAATACTTTTGGATTTTTTGGTTTCCTTGTATTGTTTACTTTTCAGGTTCTCTGTCGTTGAAATTGTCCTAGAAGGTGCAAGGTAAAAATAAACCAAAATAATGGCGGATGAACGTTCTCGTCGTGGTCTGAATCCAAATGCTCAAACATTTATACCAAATCCAGCTGCTCGACCGTTCATTCCTGGACAGCCATATCTTTTCACGGTACAACCTCCGTCAGTGTACCATCATCCGCCAACATCCGTTGACCAAGGAGCTTATCACCAACAGTGTAGCCAAATGGGGATAACCATGGCAGCACAGCATATTGCGCCATCATCGATTCCTACTCCAATGTACAATCAACCAGTTGCTGCAACTGTTGCACCTTTGATAGAGAAACCGAGCGCACCAATGACACAACGCTTGTCACATTTGCAGCAACAGCAGCAGCAAGCTCCCGCTGATGGTTAACTTGATCTATTTTAAAAATTTATTTTTTTGATGTTCTTCCCCCAATGGCCTTCCCTTTTAGAATAGTTTCGATTTGATGACAAAAGCCCATCGAGACTGTTCAAAGCACGAGTCTGCTAACAATTTTGTCAGAAATAAATATCTGAATTGATAGCAATAGATCTTGTAAATGATAAAAAGGGACATTTGTGACGAAACTTATATATAAATAAGCCTAAGCTACCGCTTTAATCAATGGTTGAGGGTGGACCATATTATTTTTTAATTAATTACTGTTTAGTGTTTTTTACAGCTTGGGATGACGAAGTAGATGATAAAGAAGTAATAGAAACAAAAGAAGAAGTGATAAAGGAAGAAGTGATGAAAAATGATTCTTTACCCGCAGAGGTGATTTTTTTTTTATTCTTTCTCCATTGTTCATCGTTCATTTTTGCCTTCTCTGCATTTTTTTTACTTCATCAAATCTGATCGTGAAAAAAAAACCTTTCCCTTCTTCCCTTTTTATTATAAAAAAGTTCACCGCAATTGGCTTAAAATATGTGCTGCCTAATAATTGCATTTACTGACAGTAAAGTAATATTTCCAGAAAGAGCAAGAACAGATGAAACCGACAGATTTGGAAACCGTGAAGCCAGAAAATACCAGAAGCAAAACAAACAATTTACCGATTACAAAGGAAATGGATGACGAGGATGCAGCATTACCTATGAAGTTTAAGCAAGCTGTTCAGATTGATGGTTTGTTAGCATTTATTTGCATAACAAATTAATTGAATGTTGACTTCAATCGCGCTGTTTTTGTGAGGCTTCAAAAAAGTTACATGAAGTTCGATTTCCAAAATTTAATGTAATATAATTTTTTCCTTACCAAATTTGTAGATAACAGTCGAAAGGAACATCTGAACATGGTTTTCATTGGGCATGTTGATGCCGGTAAATCTACGATTGGTGGGCATCTAATGTATCTTACGGGAATGGTGGATAAGCGTACGCTGGAAAAATATGAGCGAGAGGCGAAGGATAAAGGAAGAGAGTCATGGTTTGTCCTTAATGATTGGTCATTGTTTTGCTTTTGGTAAAATTCTTCGGTGACTATTGTTCGCACCTATAACTCATTCTGGACTAAATTTTGCACAAACAAGATTTTTTTTCTTAGTGTTAAGTATGAAACTATCCAGTCGTTCATGGCGTCACCTCTGATGGTAATGCAACTAAACACAATCATTCATAGGTATTCTGAAAAAGATATTTGTTGAAAGTGCAAGTGGTGAAGTTTATAATGTGATGTATGCTCCCAAAACATATCCAGTCTTTCATGAAGTTAGTCCATTTGTCTTTTATTTCCGGTATCTGTCGTGGGCACTAGATACAAATGATGAAGAACGTGAAAAAGGCAAAACCGTTGAATGTGGACGCGCATTTTTTGAAACTGATAAAAAGCACTTTACAATTTTGGATGCACCTGGGCACAAATCATTTGTTCCGAATATGATCAGCGGAGCAACACAAGCAGATTTGGCTGTGTTGGTTAGTTAATTCTTTTTTTGAAGACTGGGAAGAGGAGGAGAGGGATGAGAAGATAGAAGAGAAAAAACATAGCTTAAAAAAATTAGATTTATCGCGTTCCATGCGCGATATTTTAAATAAAAAGTTCTCGATTCACTCCTTGCTTCATTGACGAATCCTATTCATCGTTTTTGATGTTGAGCTGGTCACACTTTAGATATTTACATCTCTTTTGCCTCAGTTTCCTGTTCAATGTTCATTCTCACTAAAAGATGCAGTTTTTCAGGTCATCAGTGCGCGAAAAGGCGAGTTTGAAACTGGTTTCGATCGAGGTGGTCAAACGCGTGAACATGCGATGTTGGTCAAAACCACTGGTGTGAAATATCTTGTTGTGCTGGTCAATAAAATGGATGATCCTACTGTTAATTGGGATGAGGAAAGGTTTGCTCAATCCCGTTTTTCACACAAAGTGTCACTTGTAAAGTGATGCGAACTTTTCATGAAACTCTGCTTTATTTATAGAATAAAAATTGAAAAAAACAGCTTTTACATTTAGATCTTGAGAGCATAAATTTTTTTTTTCATTATAGGTACAAAGAAATTCAAAGCAAACTTACACCTTATTTGCGGAAATGTGGTTTCAATCCGAAAACAGATATTATATACATTCCAGTTTCTGGACTTACTGGAGCATTTCTGAAGGAGCGGCCAAATTCTGAATTTGCTTCGTGGTACACGTAAGTTATGTTCTACTTTGTATAGTGTATAGGCATTTTGAGTGCATTGGAAACTATATGATCAATAACTATTTAAAATTTTTCACTGATTTTAAGACTGTTATGAGCTTTTTCTCTCAACTGATAAATTTGTGGCTTTTAATATCGCAAGCTATTTTCTACCCATAAATTTTCAAAACCGTTACTTGAGACGTCGATGATTTCAGTGGTCCATGCTTCATTGAATATGTCGACACCATGTTGCCGTCAATTAGTCGTGATTATGAAGGACCAGTACGTATTATCATTGCCGATAAATACAGTGTAAGCGCATCCCTGTTCATTATTGATCTTCCTTAATCATATTGTTTTGAAGAATTGAAATTCAATTTTCAAGAATATCAAAGAACTTCAAGAATTATTAGTTCATTATTTTAGGATATGGGTACTATAATTATTGGAAAAATGGAATCAGGTATTGTAGTTAAAGGCCAAACGTTAACAGTTATGCCAAATAGGGTTAGTTTGTTTAAAGGAAATTATAATGTGTTTCATTTATAACAGTCGAACAACAGCGCATATTTTTTATTTTGAAAAAAGGAACTTCGAAGGATTTAAGAATTAAATATCGATGGAAATTTTTAGACAAGCATTCAAGTAATTCAACTATGGTCAGATGATGTAGAAATTGACAAAGTGGTATCTGGTGATAACGTAAAATTGAAGTTGAAGGGGATCGAAGACAACGATATTTTACCTGGTTTTGTATTATGCTCTCCGGATGCTTTATGCCATGTAGGGAGAGTTTTTGATGCTGAAGTAAGATTTTTCTTCATTTTTTGGTTTTTGAGCAATGAATTTTTTTCGGAATTCTATGAATACTTTTCTCATTGTTTCGAAGAGAAGTGAGCGTCAGTGTCTAGACAGGTGGTACTTCCTTTTTTAGGTAGTTATTTTGGATCATAAATCAATAATTGCGTCTGGTTATTCTTGTGTCCTACACATCCAGTCAGCAACCGAAGAAGTTGTTGTGAAGGTTTGTTTTATCAAACCCCTTTATATACGACAAAACTGATGAAAATTTAAGTGATGAATGGGTCACTCAAAAATTTGTATTTTTAACTTCTTTCGAAGATGGCTGACCGTACGAAGCATATTCATGATGCGACTGAGTTTACATGGGGAATACTAAATGAATAAATATTTAGGTCTTTTGAAAGCTAAGTTATGCCTGGCTAACGCAACTTATGCTATAGACTGAACTCAGAAGTTAATTGGTACAGCCTTTCTGTATTGTTGATAATTTCTTTGACAATCTATCTTATTTGTAGGCAGTAATTTGTACAATTGACAAGAAAACAGGAAATAAGGTGAGAGCACGATTTGTAAAGCAAGACGAAAAGTGTATAATGCGATTGGAAAGTTCAGAATCATTTTGTCTTGAAGCATTCAAAAATTTCCCGCAAATGGGACGTTTCACACTGCGCGATGAAGGCAAAACAATAGCTATTGGTAAAGTGCTCAAAGTCGTCGAATGATTGCGATGATATTACCTTCATTTCGATTTTCAATGTTGATTTATTTGTCTGCATATGATGGGAGAATTTTTAGGAATACTTTTCGTTTTCATATAATAACGGAATAACAAATTCAGGAATTGTATTGGAAGTAATATGTAATTTTATTGTCCACTCCTTATTTGCTCGGAAGCTGTGCTCGATACCTTTGCCTTTTTGAAATGATGAGGTTAAATACAAGAGAAGTTCATCTTTTACATACTGCTTGTCAATTACCGATAGTTTATTATTTCTGTTCACACTAATTCTTATTTGTACAGCAAGTCTTCGTGCAGAATGTTGAGCTCAAGCACCAATTTTAGATTTTCTAATAAGTCATTTTATTCTTCAGCTTCTACCCTATCATACTTTTGAAATATATAAACGAGTTGTAAACTAAATTAGTTTAAGCTACAAATTTTATAAATTCCAAATGATTTCCGCAAATTCATTGGTTTTTATAATATGTCTTCCAAAATGTACGATAGTGATAATTAACGATATGCGCTTGGAAAGAACTGTATTGCTTCTTATCGCTTTTAATAGATAGATGAAAAAGATTGTAAATAGTTCCATTCGGCAAACAGTGATAATGGAACATACTATTAGCAGATAAATTGTTGATGAAAACGAGAAGTTTTAAAGAGCGCTTTCTCATTAATTGTTAATTGTTCTTTTTGTTACATCCATTTTACACGTCGAACTTATGCTAATGAAGGATTTTTTCTCGCATTAAAAGATCAGGTGAAAAAAAACCTCACATGGGCTTATAAATGAAGGGAGGCTAAACTTTGCGAATGACAGTTTTTTAGATATTCTACTACGTGGGTAATTTCGTATTGCACGGAAACATTCACTTCGCATCACATTATGCAAAATAGAATACTGATTAAATTATGAGGAAGGTAAATACATCGTATATATTTTGAGAGCAGTATACCGGGAATATTAAACGGGACAAATTTGCATATAAAGTTTGCGAAAGTTCTGGAAGATTATACACTGTTAAGCTTCAACCGTAGATGATGAAGCTTCGGAATTGTCAACCTTCGCAGATACTGGTTCCTTCTTCCTTTTTTTCATCTGTTTTTCAATCTGAAAAGAGGACGATAGATAATCGCTGGAGTTCCGATGGAAAATGCCTTAAAATTTGAATTCGAGGATAATGTCACCCACTTTTTCAAATTCTTGTTCTGTTGGGATCGGTAAAAACGGATTAACATTAAGAGCGAAGTGAGCATCACCAGGTATAATCATAAGCAATGCGCGGTTGATGAATGGCCCTAAAAAGAGCGGATGACTGATATATATATATATATATATATATACATATGGGATATGAGAGTTGTTAGTATTTCTGAATTATTATATTACTGATGCTCATATGTACTTTCACGGTTTTATGACTGCAAGTCCTTTCAAATGAAAAATGCCGAAAGATTACAATCAAATTAAAAAACGTTACTAAAAGCATAAAGTATTTTGCTTACCTAAAGCAGGATTTCGATGTTTACATAAAGCCTCAATAACAGCTGCAATATTTGCTTCTAGTTCTCTATCATCCATTGTTAACTGAAATTGATAATGTTTACCTTCCATTAGAATTCTGTGGTTAAACAAGTGAAAGTTGAGTTAACGCTCCCATTTTATTATTTTAAAAGTTGTCCTCAATAGATGTTATTCAAAATTATTTTAAAATTTAACAGTGCTGAGCAAATGTATCATACAACGTTTTATTACTTACCCGTCCTATGACAGTATCACAAAGACCCCAAATAGGCATGACTGGATCACCTCGAATCGTTAATTTTACACCATTTTTAAATTTGCTGATGATTTCTTCGAAATTATCACCAAGACCACCTGATAAAAGATGCTCTGTAGAAGATAAGTAGTAAAAAGTTATATCACACTAAATTAAATGAAGAATAAAGTTCGAATCATGAAAGTTATTAGAAATTATATGAATGCTTCGAATCATGTATCCAGACGCTAAAAAAAATAGGAGTGATAAAAATAAACACTGATCAATTGTTGCGTTTGATTAACATCTGGGATAATTTTAATTTCAAACAGGATTAAATACCATTGATTTTATTTGGAAAACGTGATCTTAAAATTCCTCGTAAAGGAAGAATACTGGAAGCCATGTCAGTGTGTGCAACGCAAAAGTCATAGTCGTCAATTCGGAACATTCCTTTAATGATCTGAAATCCATGTTTCAAATCAAAAAAATTTAGACGTTTAAAGGTCGATATACCTTCAGTAAAAAAAATGATCATTCTAAAGATAAAAATGTAAGCTAATTCTTCTTTAGGAGAAATACAATGTTCTTCTTAATTAATTAGTTTCGAATCCAAATTTTCTTTGCCTTTCATTTTTAATCAGCCATTTAAATTCTATTCATTTAATAATTTAAAATTATCTCCTTTGTATTATTCTCATAGCAGTCACAACCAATATTATACTTTTATTTTCAGACCTTTTTAATCATATCAGGACCAAGTGCGATTTCGGCACCAGCCTCAATTGCTGCATCTCGATTATGTTGCTCATATGCAAATGCTAGTATTGTCCTCTTCTCATTATGCTTGAATGGATAAGGAATTGGTACCAGCTCTTCGGAATCAGCAACCATTTTGGTCTTGAAAAGAAAAGTTTGAGATAAAACTCGGAATGAGAAAAAATATAGAGTTATGACCACATATGAACACCAGCATTCAATATGAACCTTCTTTTCTGTTGTCATATTAAGTTCCATACGTAGTCGAATACGCGCATTCGGATTGTTGTAAATGGACGGTTGCTGCATTTCCCTATCAATTTATCAAAAAATTGATTTAATTTCGAAAAAAAATTGACATTATGAATAAAACCATTGTAAAGTAATGTTCCAGAAAAACTAACAAATCAATATCTTGGAAAGACAAATACAGGTAAAAAAACTCCGCAACAACGACATAATATCCATTTCACCAACGAGATTAAATCAGGTAAAAGGAACAATGCCTACCACCCTTTAATTCTAATTATCTAACAATATATGGAAGGTTTTACCTAAATCGCAGATAATTTAAAAATTAATCGTAAGCACTATAATGATAAAAAAATGGCTTTGAAGAATCGTAACTTAATAATTAATAAACTATGAATAAAATAAGTTGACGAGACAGAATTATTTCTCCAACCTGTGCATTTGCAGTGCTTCTGAAACTGAGTAATACTGAGTTTTGTAGGCACTTCGGATGAAAATATTTGTGGTCGGTCTATCCGGTAAATGTGCTTCCTTAGCTGGATTCAAGCGACCAGGAAACTGCTCAGATATGGAAGTCCTGACAAGAACAACCAAATATAGCTTTTCTATAATGTCAGTTCATTCTCTTCCATTCAATTAACTACTTTCTAAAAAGTGATCTCTAAAAAACACACACTCACATTTGTTTCATTCGTGAAATTTGGATCCTTTGCATAAAGGTATACTTTTTCCGTTCTGCTTCTTTTGCCTCACGTTTCAACCGTCTTTCCTGGCGTTCCTGCTTAGTAAGTGCACGTTTCAAATTACGCTTACGTCCTATAAAGCAGAAGTAAGATACGCAGCTATCGTAATCGATAGCAATCAATGTATAGATTAACTGCTACGATCGTTATTGTTATTTGAATACCACAGCTTTAAACCTATCAGTTTTTAAAATTCTTTTATTAGCAATAAAAGGATATGATGAGTTTTGAAGAAACAAGTGATATGGAACTTAATTCAAATCCTGTGCCACTTCAAAAAAAATTCAAATTTCACTGAGAGTGAAGCGAAATTAAAAAAATTTCCGAAACGCTTTCAGATTCCTCTCCTCTAACCACTACAAAGAAATACATTTTTTCCTTCTTTTTGTTGAATCATTGGAAACTATGATAATTCACTTCTTACCTCGATATTGTTGTGAATTGTAGATCGACGGAAATAGCAAGCGGTATTCAGGATATCTCATTATTATCTCATTACTGCTACATGCAACCCGCAACATTCCATTACATATTAACGAAAACATAGTTTAGGCAATAGCACACCTGAAATTATATTAATTTTAAAAATCTTTCGAACAGATCCTTCATTCTTTTAACACGTACAAAAACAGTGCCATTACAAATAGCAATTTATCAATCAGAAAAGCAATAGAAATGAATATTAATTTTGAAGCTGATCCGAAATAGATTACATATAAAAGAATAAGACAGAATAATTTGGAATTTTCATATCCTTCCCAGAAATAATCTATTATAGAATTCACTCAAAGTTTCCAACCTCAATACCACTTAATTAGGAAAAAAAACTTATGAAACCAACGAGTTTTTCTAGATTTTAATAAATTAAGACACGACTACACCGAATTATTCAAATTTCTGTAAAGGGAAACTACCACAAGCAGAATTATAAAACTAAGAGCACACCGAACGTCATGACATCCTTACAGACTATCCATATGTCACACTTAGCCACCGGTGTTGCGATATAGCATTTAACGCTTACAACACTTTCATTTTGGATTTTGATGCATAACTGCCCAGGTAGTTCAATGTTTGATCAATAATAATCGATACTGTTTTCAAATCAAAAATATTTCTCTGCCAGAAACTAATTTCGTTCAAATGTTTTATTAATAGAAATGGCCGATATCAGTAAAACACACATACATTTTATAACAAAAAAAACAAGAAATGACATAAATGGAACGACTTATCAGAACTGAAAGACATACCCGTCATAAAAACGGTCTGTCCTAAATTTGAATACCAATTGCAAGATATTAAAAACTACAATATTCGAAAAAATAATAGGGAGTGAGAGTTGTTCCTTCCTCAATTCTGTCGAAATAAATTTTTAATGAATTTATAGTACCAAACTTTTCCGCTAAAGAATCATAAAATTATTTATATGTTACCACAGCGTTCAGATTTTTCTAGATCTTTTATTGCTCATTTATTTTGCCATTCCTATTGCTAAAACATTACACTGTTTTCATGTTCTTTCCGACAGAACCTAATGTCATAGAAATGTCTGTAATTTGCACAATCACTGAAGCAAAAATCAACAAAATGTAGTAATAAGTAAAACATACAAAAGTGACAAAATATTATTTGCAGCATACCACTCTCAACAAGCAATAAATAGAAGTTGCATACGGAACTGCATGAGCTAATTTTTATTTAAACAATTTATCTGCAAAAACTAATAAAAAAAATTATATATTAATCCAAGACGATATGAGACGAAGATGAGGAGCATGACAGATGCTTATACTCATTTTTCAAAAAAATATATCCTTGGAAATTTCACATCTCGATTCTCGTTCTATAATTTCGTTTAAATGATAGATTACATTCAGTGTCATTGCATCACTGGAACTAGATAAGTAAGAGAAAAAGTAGAAAAATTTGCCAAGTATTTTAAAGAATTTGAAAAGTTTGAAACCAATCATGCTTTTTTTCGTGATATGAACGCAAAATTCGATAAATCAAATGGATCTCTGCATTATCATAGAATAGATTATTTCAAAGCATAAATAAGGAGACAATAAATTCTAAGAATGCAACATTTGAATGCATTACTATGAATAAAAAAGCATGAAGTGGTATCTTCTCACAACGAAAGGCTCTAAATTTTTTAAAAAAACGTCAAATTCAAGGCGTATAAAAATTAATCATAAGACAGTTCGACAACAGTGATACGCTGGCAGGATAAATTTTGCGTAAGTTGCAGGAAGAATTCGCATCTAACTCCGCTACAACGTTGGAAAATGAAGAGGTAAGAATGCATTATTAAACTTCAACAATGAAATGCTAATAATTCAGATCGTGATATGTCTCAAATATTTCAAAATACTAATGAATTCATGCGCAATGCTTTGAGGTGCTCTAAACTTTTGAAATTTGTGAGTCTATTTTAAACAAGTCGAAACTAATCGAAAGCTATCTGAACTATCTTAACCAAGTGCACAAGTTTTTAGGCTTTATATAGAAACCTTGGGTACTGTAAGTATAAGTAAATAGTTCAATTCCTCAAATTTATCTAGAATAAAGCGAGAAAAACTCACCGAGAAATAGGTTATACCACCAAGTCCATTCTGCAACATGCGCTAACTTAAATCACAATTAAACAAAAAATTCGGAAAGCATGCATTTTCGTTTTAAAAGCTCAACAATCACCACGAAATAAGGAAGATTCACAGCTCTTTTTTTGAAACAAAAAGAATGAGAGAGAGTTGCTTGGATGAAAGATGGGATACATTGAAAGAGAAGCAAACACACTGCCTTGAATCAAAGGAAAACCCGGGAAAAGTACAATTTCATTATAATAAAAATCTAAAAAAAAATGCCAAGAAATGCTATTATTAGTAAAAACAAAAGCAATATTATCGTGTCATATGCCATGTGTCTCGATGATCAGGTTAAGAATGAAGAGAAAAGATTCTGAAAAAACATACAGTGGGGAAAGACAAAGATCCACTATGGATTACTAGAGGTAATGTATGAATAATCCACCCGACTAATGACATTCTTTTAATCATCGGTAGATAAGCCTTGAAAATCATGATAAAAATATCTTGTCGTCAATCCCTTTTAAATTTCTCTCTTCCTTCTTTATCCAAAAATCATCCTCTTTCCGATTCTATTACTCTCGCCTCAAAACACATGGAAATTTGTGTTATCACCAGGATTCCACTTTATCTCTCTTTATATTGCCAACTCACAGTACTTAAGATTAATTTACCCGTTTCAAGTAAGTAGCAAGTGCAGAAAAACGAAGAAAAAAACAGATGAGGTTCCTTAGAACTTTTACTGGACGGGAATGAGAAAGCATGCAGCATATAATATTAAGTAATATAGTTAGAAATGAAATTTTTATTAGATTCGATCCCAAAATGTCTGCCCTGGTCTAAATTCAGCAACAATTTAACCAACTAGATTGGTTTAAAAAAGTTACTTGATGGATGACGCAGTGAACCTCTTTTGTATTATCTATATAAGGTCCTGTCCGTATTTGATCCGTATCAGCGGAAGGTAGGTTACATCGATTGGCGCACAAACCTAACTGGCATTTAAGTTTCCATAACTGTCCTAACTGGCACCTAAATTTCCATGACTGCTTTATTTGTAAGAGCACAAGACCATTACGGAGTGATCAGTAAACTAATTATTGATTGGAAAGATACAAATTAATAAAAGATCAATAATAGTAACAAAATAAATAATTTGAAGTAAACAGTGAAATGATGACTGACTGGAAGGAATAAAGAATGAGAATGAGTAATTTACAGCACTATACAACATCCCTGATTTTGTTTGATGCGCGCATTTTGAACATAATTCATTTCGCGTACAATTTCGGCGAATACAGTATTCACGTTATGTGCACTCTTTGCTGAGCATTCCGTGAATGGACAGGACCAATATTCTGCTAAGCCAAGACCATCTTCTGTTCGCACCTAAAAAGCAAGCAGGACCGCAAAATGGGGAAACATAAACAAAGTAACAAGTAGTTTTATATTATTCCATTTAATTTTAGTTATGGAAATAGAGGAACAAATAAAAAACAAGTAAACTTGTGAGAAAGATTGTATACTCACTGAACTGGCCAAAAAATTTGTTTGCAAATTATTCGATAGTTTGGAATTAAGTCACAACTATTGGAACATCACTTATTCATATTAATATCGAATTCATGTAAAATATTTACCTGTCGCTGATGAATTAGGTCACATTTGTTACCAACCAATAGGATAGGCACTTGATCGGTACCCTAAAACTAATTTTTCAAATCATTTCGCCCATTGATTGTCATCCAATCGCTTTTTCTATATTTCATTACTGATTATGTATAATTATTTCCTAACATGTCAATTATTTCAAAACTTTTTTTTTGTCATATCCTGTCAACTTCAACTTCAGATGTCAAAAAAATTCAAACAGCGGCTGAAATCTAGTTAGAGATTAATTTCTATGCTTTGATCCTAATTAGTTTAAAGATTCACCTTAACCCGAACAATCTGTTCACGCATGGTCTTGATGTCGTGAAATGTTTGTTGACTTGTTATTGAGTAAACTACTACAAAACCTTGTCCATTTTTGATATATAAATCACGCATTGATGCAAACTGTTCTGTGCCTGCGGTATCCAGAATTTCCAGTACACATGGCTGACCATCTACCTGAAGTCTCATTTTTCATAATCAACTAAGCTTTGTTGGTTTTTACTCATAATTTGATGATGGAGCACAACAAAATCGTTTAGTAAAACTAAACTTCACATTATTAAACTCATCTCAATTCCTAGTATACATTTCATAAATGAAAGCTTTTTTTACCTCACATGTGAGACACTTGATTTATATGAACTTAATTAATTATCTGAATTTTTTATATGAAGTTAATTAATTATCTATAAATGAATTATATACAAGACGACAGAACTAAAAATCAAGAAAATTTTCAGAATCCAACAATATGAATTTCAGTCATTGATTTTAAAAGCTTTGTACTCACAACATTCACAAGAGATCAAGATAAATCCTCCAGCGCAAGACTAGAGAAAATGTCGCGAGTTAACTTCTTTTTTTATTTTTATTTTCGAAAATTGAACAGAATGAATAAACCTCAATTTCTTTGCGATAAAAATCTTCAATTGTCGGATCATATTTTTCAATGAACGTATTTGAAACGAATTGAACGGTTAGAGCTGATTTACCAACACCTCCGCTTCCGAGTACCACTACCTGAAGAAGTCATCATTCCTATAAGCTAATGTAATGCTACTTATTGAATACTAAGGAATACGTGATTAACGATAAAATGCTATCATTTTCCTAAATTAATTCGAATGAATCATTACGATATCCATTAACAGCTGATTTGATTAGTTTATTTGAATTTTTTTCCATGACAAGTTTTGCTATTTTTTTTTCAGCCTTAATTAAAAATTACTAGTAGAATTGAAGATAATTCAAAAATCGTTACCTTGAACTCGCGCATATTCCGGTAGGATGGCGAAATAGGATGGGACAGATCTCATTCAACGTAACTCAACAATATCTATCTCTGTAATTACCAGACAAGTTACTATGATACTGAAAAAAAATTTTTTTTTCTGCGAGAATTTGAAGGTGTGCTAAGCAATTGGTAAATAAGGCAATTTAGACAAACATATAAATATAACTCTCAAGAAAACGAATTTCACGGATATATCGTTTCGGTACATATATATTCAGTAAAGTTCTTTTCTCTCTGAATTAGTTGATTTTTTTTAATAAAAAAAATCAACTAATTCGGAGAGAAAAGCAAATAATTGGAAATATAACGTGATAAAAGTGACCGAAATTGATGTTCATTAATTTCTGAGCCACATTATAGCAATGCAGACAAGAACAATTATTTAACCAACCTATGAACAATGGTGTTTACTGATGATATCTCACAATAGTTGCATCTGTATACTAACGATATTAGGTATTCGAAATAGATGTAGTCTGTGGAGCCATGGGACATTGAGCCAGAATATGGGCTAGAATTATCATGTGATTCTCAGATGGTCAAAACATAAAAAACTGTAAGGAAATGTATGAATCATTCACACAAACAAAATGTAAATTGAGAAATAACAAATTCTGATGAGAGTAAGCGGATATTTTTGGTGAATAAAAAGTCTTTAGCTCAAAAGAAATTCTGCAAGCAAAGAAAACCGTCGTAAACCACAATAATTTCGAATTAAAATTACAATTATTTAGGACATTATACCGACCTCAACATCCTATAAGCTCTTTTAGGCATCGCATGCAATAAACAGACAAGTCAACACTTGTCGACATGTGTGAGAAAATGTGCCTGAAAGATTGAGAGTAGCAAAAATAGTGTGAGTGTTTGAGAAGACACATAGACTGCTGAAGATACAATGAAAATACGATTAGAAGTGGTTGGTCAGAAAAATTTTACAGGATCACACCTTGTAATGATGATAGTGATTAAGAGTATAAGAGAAGCGTGGAAAAATGATGGAGAGAAAGAGAGAGAGAGAGAGAGAGATAAGGAGAAACCCGCGCAAATGTGAAATGAACAGTTGTTGAATGATGGGCTAATGCACAAATTGCGATAAACTGTAAGCGAATGAGGTTGGCTCGAAATAATCGAGAGGGCCTCTTGAGATATCCCTTTATCCGACATTTTTTCATTCACTGGCCATTCATTCATAATGAGTAACGATCATCATGCTTTTAAAATTTGGCCTCGTAGGGAAATGTGATAAAAGAGAGAGAGAGA